GACCTCCCCTTTTCCGCTTAGTCCTTTTTAGACGATCCCTGGCTTCCCTCTGCAGTCTTTGCAGACGCTCCCTAATACACCCTTCTGTCTCCTTGGGCCTTTCGGGTTCCGTCAGTTCCCTGAGACGCTCCCTGAGCCCGTCAGGATTTGCCGATCTTCCCTCTGTTTTCGCGGAGCGGCTCAGTACCCGGCCGCGGGTTCAGGGTGTGCACGCGCGCCGCCTCCTACCCTCTCCTGCGGGTTTATGAGTAACCGGGCTGAGTCCAAGGCCGGGACCTGCCACGTCTGGGGATCCTTGCCCGGGCTGGGGGTTGGGAGACGTGACCTCGCTGTGCGGGTGCGAAGGTCTGGAGTTTGAGCTCCATTAAGCCCCACCTGCTCGGGACCCTTAGAAGTGCTGCCAGATTTCCTCTTACCTAGCCCCCTAAGGGCGGAGAGGGGATTGCGGGCCCTCAGTTCCTCTGGCTGGAGCTCACTTGCTGGAAGACTTTGGGGTGATATCCCCCGGAGCTCGTCGCTGGGACCTGCTTTGTGGGCGTGCGACTTTTGTGGTCGAACAGAGTCCCATGCTTAGTGTAATAATGTTCTGGTGTCACCGTTTTGAAATTCTTTTTTTTTTAAGAGAGAGAGAGAGAGAGATAGAGAGAGAGAGAGAGAGAATCTATCTCGGCGGACACAACATCTTTGTTTGTATGTGGTGCTGAGGATCGAACCCAGGCCGCACGCATGCCAGGCGAGCGCGCTACCGCTTGAGCCACATCCCCAGCCCTTGAAATTCTTAATAACTTAAGCGGCCCGTATTTTTATCTTGCTCTGGACTCCATAATTATGGAGGCAGTTCTGTGCCTAGAATAACATGTTTCTGGGTTGTCCAGCGGGGAAAATCTGGACTTATTTTGATCTTTTCCTTGCCTTTTAAGTTCAATTTTTTAAAGTCCTATAGATATTTTACCTGAGGTTAATTTTTCCAGTCACCACACATTTTTCTCCATGCCTCCCCACCTCACTGATTCTCTGAAGTTAGTTCCTAAGAACCCATAAGTGGTCCATTGTTCATTTTATTCTTTCTAATAAAAACTTTTCCCAACCTACTTGTATTGTTTTTGTAATCTTTTTTCCCCCTTTTTAAGTATTTCTGCCAGGCATAAAATAAATGCCTTGCTTATTTCCACTTCTGCACCCTCCCAGAATGTTTTATCTGAGCAAAGCTTTGTCTCTCCGCATCAAGTTCTCTTTCTCGCAGCTTTGTACTTTGACTAAGTAGTACCACTTCGGCTTATTTAGCTTGACCCTGCATAAAATTTATGTTTTGCATAGCAATCATTGATAATAGTGGAACATTGGGAACAAAATAGACCCAAATATCCTACAATATGGGATTGGTTAAATAAATTAGGAGCCACATGGTACAAGAAGTGCCTGGTAACTGTTAAAATGGTGTAGTGGGCAGAGAATGGAGCTCAGTGTTAGAGTGCTTGCCTAGCATGTGCTAGATCCTGGGTTTGATTCTCATCACCGCGAAAACAATAAATAAAAAAGGGATGTTGATTTCTTCTATTTTTATTTCTTGGAGAATTGTGCAAACAACATTAAATTTTTAAAAAGGTGGTAGGGCCCAGGGGTGTAACTCGCTCAGTGGGAGTGCATACATTCAGGCTCTGGTTTCAGTTTCCAGCACTAAAGAAAAGGTGGTATTTAGTCCTTCTGGTGTCATATTCTGGGGAATACAAAACCAATATGGCCTTATTTTTGTATTAGAAAGTATAAAAATACCCAGGCTCATTGTATAATTAAACAAATACTGAAATGGAGAAGGCCTTGCATGAAACAGTGACAAAGATGTACCATGAACAAAGGATTATGATTAATATGATTCTAGCACCTATGGTCCAGAAAACGAAACAAAATTTCTGTTAAACTCATCTCAGGGTGTGTGTGTGTGTGTGTGTGTGTGTGTGTATTTAAGTACTGGGGATTGAACAGAGGGTCTTGCATATGCTAGACAAGTGCTCTCCTGCTGATATACACTCCCAACACCACCACCTCCACCCACCCCAGCTTGGCATAAACTTGGGATTCTCCTGCCTCAATCTCAATAACTTATTTTTTGATAATCTCTTTCCTTTTCTTCTCTTTACCATTTGCAAATCTAGCTTACACCTGAAGAACATCTTGTTAATTCAATCCTTAGTATTGTAGAACTTATGCATTATTGAATAAAACATTAAAATTCATGGTAAATATTTTAAAAAATCATGGTTTAGGACTAAAGTGAATCCTTCTAATATTAAATGCTAAAGTAGCAGTATTTGCTAGGTGCAGTGGCACATGCCTGTAATTCCATTGGCCCCATTGGCTTGGGAGGTTGAGACAGGAGGATTGCAAGTTTGAAGCCATAGTAACTTAATAAGGCCCTTAGCAACTTAAACTCTGTCTCAGAATTCAAAACAACACGCAAAATGTAATATCCATCACTGGATCCATTGATTTTTTTTTTGTAATCTTGGGCATTGAACACAGAACCTCATGCATACTGGGCAAGTGCTCTACAACTGAGCTATACCCCAGCTCTGTTGATTCATTTTTTTTAAATAAGCTTTTTTTTGTTGTTGTTTTTAGTTGTAGGTGAACACGATACCTTTATTTTATTTATTGTATTTTTATGTAGTGCTGAGTGTTGAATCCAGAGCCTCCTCACACACTTGAGGCAAGTGCTCTACCACTGAACTACAACCACAGCCCCTGTTGATTCACTTTTGTAGGTAAAAGATCTTAAACCTATGAATTTTAGTATGTTCCTTGTGTCCTATAATGATTTTTGAAATGTGTACAAGTACACATGTCTAGAAAAAAATCAATCCAGAAGCATTTATATTTTGGGGTATATAATGTGTTTTATTGAAAGAAATAAAATGACATCTTTAAAAATAATTACAGGGCTAGGGATATAGCTTAGTTGGTAGAGTGCTTGCCTTGCATGCACAAGGCCCTGGGTTCAATCCCCAGCACCACAAAAAAATAAAAATAAAAAATAAAAAAAATTACAGTTGTCATTTCTATGCATTCTACAGGCCTTCCCTTTCTTGATTTTGATGTTTGGCTTGTTGCTTGGTGAATTTGTAAAGTGATTCTCATTTGGGCAGCCTCTACTCTCCCCAGCTACACTTAGAGTTACAACTACAGAAAAGTTTTTATCTTCAGCACCCATTTTAGGATCATTTCTAGTATACCAAGAATCAGAGTTAACTCCTGTCTGAGCTGCTTTGGCCTGTTTCCTGCTCTTGAGTATCTCCACTAGGGGGCATGCTGCGCTAGAGAGGAGTGAAGGAAAGCAGTTTTCAATCCCTGACTGACCTGACTTTTTCTGGCCTACTGAAACTTCAACTCCCAGTTTGGTGACCACTCAGAGGTCGGAGAGATATCTCTAGGTGACTTTATATTTTTTTATATTTTCAGTACTAGGGATTGTACCCAGGGATGCTCTACCACTGACCTGTACCCCAAGCCCTTTTCTTTTTTTTGAGACAGGGTTCTTGCCTCAGCCTCTCGAGGAGCTGGGATTATAGGTGTATGCCAGTATGCCCAGTTTATCTAGGCAACTTAAAGGCAAAGTTCCATCTTCTGAAGTGACTGATGCCCATGCATGTGTTTATACCTTGTCTTCTTGTATCACTCTGTGTAGACGGAAAGGGAGGAGTATTATAATTTACCTAGGGACTTAAAATGTGTTGATTAGAAAGCAATTGAGTAATTATGAGATATGCCAAGACTCTCATCTCTCATGTCTTAGGTCCTTAAGAATCAGATTTTTTTTTTCGTGTGTGTAGGATAGGAGTTGCAGATGTAATATAGAAGTAAAAACTCTTTAGCCCTAATTTTGGACAGGAAGTGGAAAAATCAATATGACTTCATGGGATGTTTCATTTTCCTATCTCAAGCTACCAAAAAAGTCTAGTAAAAACCACCAATCCAGAAGCAATCAACACTCTTAGCATATAGATTGTAATCTTAAAATACCATTCTCAACTGAAAGAAATTGGAGCTTTTAGAAGTAGTTGATTCCAGGTCTGGGGCAGGAAATATACGAGTGTGGAACAGTTAACCATACCAGGCATGGAAGAATCAAGTAGGAACTATAGAATATGTCAAACAGACTCAGGAGCTGAGCTCCCATGGCCAAAGGATAATTCAAGCATTAATAAAGATAATATAATAAACACTAAATGTGTTTAAGTTCATGAGTGTATAATGGTGTGCATGTGTTTATAACTAATTGGTCATCTTTTTGAAGAATAGTAGGAAACCAAAAAAAAATTTTTTAAGGTACTAGAGATTGAATCCAGGGGTAGTCTGCCACTGAGCTACATCTGCAGCCCTATTTATTTATTACTTTAAAATTATTATCATTATTTTCATACTGGAGATTGAACCCAGGAGCACTTAACCACTGAGCCACATCCCCATCCCCTTTTTGTATTTTATAGAGACAGGGTCTTATTGAGTTGTTAGGGCCTCCAGGGCCCCGCTAAAGTTGCTGAGGCTGGCTTTGAACTCACAATCCTCCTGCCTCAACCTCCTGAGTTGCTGGGATCACAGGTGTGCACTACCATGCCTGACTCCGAGTCATTTTCATTTTGAGACAGGGTCTCACTAAGTTGCTGAATCTACCTTTGAACTTGGGATCCTTCTGCTTCAACCTTGTGAGTTGCTGGATTACAGGCCTGTGCCATCATACCCAGTAAGAACAGATTTGAGAACACCGGAACCACTGTCACTGGTAAATGGAGCTACAGAAGCTTCTGCATGTCTCAGTGGGAGATCAAGAATTTTGGTCTTGGAGACTGCCTTGAGGAACTAGCTCAGGCCTACATCTTTTTAAGACCTCAGGATACATGAGGGCAATGCCTTCTCCTAACAGTTCCTACTTATGTGACCCAGAGGTGAGACTGATGTTAGAGGGAAACCTGTGAAGTAGGTAGGAAATGAAAACAGTACAAATGTTATATAAAATAAATGAGCATCTCTTATTATTAGACAGTGTATGGGGAAGGTCTGTGGTCTGGTCTCAGATGTTAACACCAAACTGCTCATATTTTCTGCAAGCCTGGGGCTCCCTTTTCCCAGATGTTGGTATTGTGCTATTTTGCCAGTATGAGTCGGGTCACATTTTGCGCACACGTCCCTCCAGGGCCTCCAGTTCAGCCAACACCTCCTTGGGCAGATCCTCGTTGACCTGCTCTGTCAGATAGTTCCGAATGTCACGAACCTCCTGTTCCCAGAAGTCCTTGGGGAGCGAGAACAGCTGAGTGGTGTCTATGGCTCCAAGGCCGCTGAGATCCAGAGCTCCTTCTTTTGGCACCAGCCCGATGGGTGTCTCTCGGCCACTATCCTCCCCTTCTAATCGCCGGCAGATCCAGTCTAGAACCCGAGCATTCTCCCCAAAGCCTGGCCACAGGAATTGGCCTGCCTCATCACGTCGGAACCAGTTGACGTGGAAGATGCGAGGTAGCCGGGCTCCCTTGCGCTCCTCCATGCTCAGCCAATGTTCCAGGTAGCGCCCAAAGTTGTAGCCAAAAAAGGGCCGCATGGCAAATGGGTCATGCATGATGATCTTCCCTACGGCAGGAGAAGGATGGGTAAAGAATCTTCCTTTTTTAAGGAAGGAAGGGAAGGGCACACTGTATCCAGTTGGAGGAAGTTTAAAAGGTTCACAGTTCTGGAATGTCCTCAGAGAAAGTGAAGAGAAAGAATGGGGGTAAAGGCAGAAGTAGAAAGAGGTGGAGTCCCTGAAGACTCCAGGGAGGGCAAGAAGATCTGGCTTAGAAAGGGAGACAGAAGGTGATGTGGGCACACATGAGAGGAAGCGATGAGCAATGTACTTACCTTTGTGTTCAGCTGCTGCAGTGGATTCAGAGCGCATGGCACTACCCACGAATACCCCATGACGCCAGTTGAAGGCCTCATATACCAGGGGCACCCCTAGAACACCAATGAACAGGGTCACAGACAGCCCTTTTCTTTGGATCCTCACTCTGTCCCTTCTGATAATGACAATCTCATTCTTCTAATACCTCAGCTATCCCATTTTCAGACCCTATTGTTTCCTTTAAATTCTGCATTTACCAGGGAAAAACTCTGGAGACAGCCAGCTACAGTTGGAGATCCAGGCTGAGGCTCCCTGAACTTTAAGTACAGGAGGGACAGTGGACCCTAGTTTAGAGCTAGGCCTTTTACCAAGAAGGCACAGAGTTCATGTGTTACCTTTGGGTCTGCGGCCTCCAAAAATGATGGCATCAATGGGGACACCCTCTGGGGCCTCCCAGGCTGGGTCAATGATAGGGCACTGACGAGCCGGGGCACAGAAGCGAGAATTGGGATGTGCACAGGGTTCCTTGTCACCTGGCAGAAGAAATACAAATACTGTCACTTCCAAGGTTATGTCCACCCCCAACACACACATACGTGTGTATACACTCTTGCATAATTTCTTTTTGCCTCATAAGCTATCTATAGCCTTATGTGGTAAAGAACAGGATGAAGGGAGCCAGGAGACCGCCCCCAAAAGATCAGATATTTTTTCCACCTGGTACTAAAGATTGAACCCACAAGCCTTGCACATGCTAGGCAAGCACTCACTCTACCACTGAGCTACATTACCAGACCTTTGTGTTTTTTATTTTGAGACAGGATCTTGCTAAGTTGCTGAAGCTGGTCTAGAACTTTCTATTATCTTGCTTTAGCTTCCTGAGTTGCTGGAATTATAGGTGTACACTACTGTGCCCAGCAAGGTCTGGTTATTTTTCCATAATGGTGCTGCCAGAGAAAAAGAGTGGAGGAGGAATTGGGGTTCTACAGGGCACTAATGTTTATGCCAAGCTACAGGTACTTGGCATTGACCAGGGCTCATGGGAATAGGGCTAGACACTGATGTGAGATTACAATAATTTTTCCCCTATGAACTTTAAAAAATATATATATTTATTTTTTTAGTTGTAGTTGGGCATGATACCTTTATTTATTTATTTTTTATGTGGTGCTGAGGATCGAACCCAGGGCCTCACACATGCTAGGCAAGCATTCTACTTCTGAGCCACAACCCCAACCCCTCCCCTGTGAATTTTTTCTTTATAGGATTATTATTTCCCAGACCTAAAGCAAAAACTGCATTCACTAGGGGAAAAATAACAGTTTTGTATTTCAGACAATTGACTTTCTATCAGCAAACTAGAGATGACAGAACTTCCTGAGCTATCAAAATGCAAACACAAACTGATCTTTTTTTTTTTTTTTTTCGGGGGGAGGGAGTACTGGGGATTGAATTCAGGGCCATTCAACCACTGAGCCACATCCTCAGCCCTATTTTGTATTTAATTTAGAGACAGGGTATCACTGAGTTGGTTCACGCCTTGCCCTTGCTAAGCTGGCTTTGAATTCTCAATCCTTCTGCCTCAGCCTCCCAAGCTGCTGGGGATTACAGGCATGTGCCACGGTGCCCCACTATACAGGAATTGGTTTCAAAGCTCACAGAATTTTGTTGATTTCCCTAGGCCTGCTTTGAGCCTGACAGAATGGTAGGACTAGAGTAACTCAGAAAGAGACATAGCCTAGGCAGTATAACCTTTGAAGCCCTGATCACCTGGCACCTTTAGGTGCCCTGGAGAGGGCTTTGGACCAAATCAGGCGCATGTGTGAAGTACCAACATGGGGACCTTGAATGGGCACACTGCCTTCTCTATTGGAGGTTGCTGGTCAGACCCGGGGAGCAAGGAAGCCAAAAAGGTCAACACTCCTACCCACTGCCTCTCCCCAACCTCTGCCTACTTCTCAAATAAGAGCCGTCCTTCATTAGCTGCCATTGTAGGACCCTAGCACAGGGTATTTATTCTGGGAATTGAAGCTGGGTGTAAGATGCCCTAGTTATACCCCTGAATTCAGAGTTGATGAAAGGGTTGGGGAAGTAGCCTGTGGGGAAAGATTAAAGTTTCTTGGATTTCTCAGTTGGATGAGGGGGGTTTAATGATGGTGTTAGAGAAAATGAAGGGCGATTAGACAAGGAAGGTGCCTGCTAGGCCAGCCTGGCAAACTTGAATACAGGTTTTAGCAACCACAAGGCCACCTTCCTAATACTATACACTTCTCTGCTTCTACCTCTTGGTCTCTGGGCTCTCTGACTACAAAAGGCCAGAAAGCTGAAGGTCCAGAGTGCAGGGCTCAGGGAGGCACCTGGGAAATGATAGGGTTGAGAAACTAGCTTCTGGGAAACACTAAAGTGCTAGGCTGATTTAGTGTGGAAGAAGGGTTAGAGTACAGGGGAAGGGTGAGAGTAACAACACTGACATTTAGAAAGAAAAACAATGGCCATTATGCAGGGGACAGTGGGAGCCAAGTGGCAGGAGGAGTTGGGCAGAAGAGGGGCAGGCATCTATATTTCCTAATGCACCAAACTTTATGGATTCTGCTCTGAGTTCAATTCCTTCTGTAACAATTTTCAAGACAGTCCTTCCTCTTCCTCTTTTTTGTTTTTTAATCCAGCTTATATTTATTATCGAAAACTTAGTATATATTCAGCAGTAATACTAAACCCCTTTTATGCATTATTTAGTTCGCCAATAATCTTGAGACCAGTATTTAACAAACATTCTCATCCAAACAAACATTTTCATCCACTGGTGGAGAAACTTAAGGGAGTAAATTTAGCCAAATTCCAAACCAATGATTGGTGGAGTTGGGACATGACCTAAGATCTTGCCTGGGATTGGAAACTGCAAACATTCATAATTTCCTGTGCCTCCCAAAGGAACAGAAGATAGATGGGGGATGTGGAGGAAGATTTGCATCATTAAGGTCTGGGCCCTGGGGACATGACTTCCTACCCCACATACCAGGTTGCCAGGGTTTGCCTAGCCAGGAGGTCACGGTGACACCAGGTGGAAGAGGCTGGTCAATCCCTTCCCAGTACACGCCGCCATCACTGGTTTCAGCCACGTTGGTGAAAAGAGTGTTACTCTGGATTGTGGCCATGGCATTGGGATTGGTGGTGGCAGAGGTGCCAGGGGCCACCCCAAAGAAACCATTCTCAGGGTTGATGGCCCGGAGTCGACCTGTCAGAAGAAGAAGTGAAAGAAAGGAAGGACCCACCAGGAAAAGTTGAGGTGCAAGGCTGAAGAAGGTCCTGCTCTACCCCCTCCCTGCCTTGAACTGGACCCTAGATCCAGTGTGGAAAGGCTTTTTGTCTCTGGGTTGGCTGAGTGCAGGTATGGGACAGAGTTAGCTATTCAGGAACAGGTTCTCACTGAAAAAGCTCACCACATTGGAGGGGTCCATAAGAGCCAGAACTGAGACTGTGATCTGAGTGCTCCTCACCTTCACTGTCAAACCTCATCCAGGCGATGTCATCTCCCACACACTCTACTTTCCAGCCTGGCAATGCGGGACGCATCATGGCCATATTTGTCTTGCCACAAGCACTGGGGAAGGCAGCTGCTATGTAGCGCTTCTTCCCTGCAGGGTTGGTGATGCCTAGGATCTGTGCATTGGGATAGAAGGAACAGGAGGTCACCAAAGATCAGAGCATGGCCTGCATGGGGAAACAGAGCTAGGGGCTAAAAGGGGGGGATCAATGTTTATTCATTGAACAGGTGTACTGCTCTGCCACAGACTTGGGTAGCAGTGTTCAGCAACCTGGAGCCAAAGCTTCAAGCATTTGGGCAGAGTCTCTGCACACCAGCTTGACACCTGGCAGGAAGGAGGCAAAGCTAAGGCAGACTAGCCAGGCCCGCCCCTGCCCTGACCCCCTCCCCACGGCTGCCCAGTTCCTCACCAGGCCCTCACCAGCATGTGCTCCGCCAGCCAGCCCTCATCCCTGGCTAGGCGAGAGGCGATGCGCAGGGCAAAGCACTTCTTGCCCAGCAAGGAGTTGCCACCATAGCCGCTGCCGAAGGAGATGATCTCCCGCTGGTCAGGCACATGACCAATCAGGGTTTTCTCTGGGTTGCATGGCCACTGGCTCACCGGCTCCCCTGGGGACAATGGGGTCATAGGACTGCTAGCAATGGCATCAAGAACTGGGTGTCAGGGGCTGGAGGGATCAAGATTTGGCAAATTGAGAAACACTTGGGAGCAGTGGTTGTGCCCAGAATGGCTCAAGCTCCCTGCCTCATCAGCTCTCCTGTCTTTATTAGACAGGAAGACTGACTTTTCTCAACTCTGTTCAAACTGCTCTCCAAACACAGCTTCACCCTTTGCCAAGAATGCTACCCTGGATTTTCAGAGGACAGATTCTCAGGGTCTGAGAGTGGAGTTTGGGGTTCTCTCTGAGTGCAAGAGGACCTCTGTGTCCTCCCTGAGCAGGGCAGGTACTCACCTTGTGAAGTCAGGGGCTGACCCACAGAATGTAGACACTTGACAAAGTCTCCATCTCCTAGGGCCTGAAGCACAGGTGTCCCCAACCGGGTCATAATACGCATGCTTGCCACCACATAGGCTGAGTCAGTGAGCTGCACCCCGATGCGGGACAATGGGGAACCCACAGGACCCATGCTGAATGGAAGCACATACATGGTGCGGCCTGTGGAGGAAAGCATCACTTGGATAAAGGGTTCCAAAGGGTTCCAAAGGGTCATACCATCTGTGCCCCTGCCTGTGTCCCTGCCCTGGTTACCCTGCATGCAGCCCGGAAACCTCTCATCCACAGCTCGCTGGAACTCAGCTGGGGACATCCAGTTGCCCAGCTGCCCACGGGCCCCACCAGTTGGGAGGGGCACCGTGTCCCGCTGAGAAGGAGTTACAATCACCGTCTTGCTTTCTACTCGTGCCACGTCCTTGGGGTCTGTGCGGGCCAGCCAGCTGGGAGAGAGGGGATTGTCAGGAAGGTGTGGCCAGCAGGTCTCCTTCATTCCCAGAACTGCTTTTTCAAGTCCAATTTTGTCTATAGTTCTTCTGTTGACTCATTTTTTTCTATCCATTCATATCTTAATCCCTTTCTCCAAGGTTTGTCCCATCTAAGAGGAGGTTCCCAAGGCCCTAGTCCTCTGGTAGACTTTATCCTTGGCAAATGACTCCTGAATTGGTTGGGGCAGGAACCCAAATAATTTTATTTGTATTAACTTCTTCCTTTAATACAAAAACATCAATCATTCCTAATTCCCATTCTGTTCCTTCCATTGGGAGGTCTAGTTCAATTTGATTTTGTCTTGATAAACTCAAAATTGACCTTAATCCAAGCAGCTGCCCCATCCTGAGGGGTGCTGAGCTCAGGGCTTACCAGTTATTGTACTTGGGAAGTTTTCGGATGAGGCCCTGCTGTTCTAGCAGGGTCAGTGTGGCAGTATTCTCAGCCTCAGTCCCATCACAGATGTGGATGCTCTCTGGTTGGCACAGGCGGGCACTGTGCTCCACAAAGTCTCGAACTCCAGCAGGCAGCTGGCCCAGATCTCCACTGACCACACGCAGGGTCTGGATGCTGCGGCATGATGACCAACACCAGGGGCTCAGCCCATGCCAGCTAAGCCTATAAGAGAAGAAACAGGGAGACAATAAGCAAATGCTTTCATGGAGGGTAGACAAGTGCTTGGGGGATAGCAGGAAGCATGTTTCGGTGCAGGCACAATGAAGAGCAAATTGTTTGTGGTGTGTGGGATAGATTCAGGCCATATGCATCCTGTGACCTTTATGAGGTTTAAAGAGGATGTCTTCTGGTCATCAAAAGACAAATATGACCAAATGAGCATGAAGGTACACACCTGGCTGTGGAAGTATGTGTAGGCATGCTGATATATAGTCCACACCCATATTTCACTATGTCTATGTTTATAAATGAGCAGGTGCCCTTTGGCCCAAGTGTCAAGAAACTGCCAGATAAGTTGCATGGGTCTAGTGTTTAAATTTCCAGGCATGGTCTTTCCATTCGCAAGTATAGTTTTTGGAAGTTAAAGTAGCAGCTGTTTTTATTTATTTATTTCTTCTGATGTGAATGCTGTAAGACTGTGAAAGCCTCAAGCAAAAGGCCCCACTTTGTGAGAAGATACAGGCCTTTTCCAGTGCCAGGTTCTTAGATTGGGGCTCTTACACAGAGATAGGGGACTGGATGTTGGGGTTCTAGGAAACAGATATGCTGCTGCCTACCTGTGTCAACAAGGGTTACATTAAATGTTCTTACTAGACAGGTATTTTTGAACTATGTGAAAGACTGAACACTGAGGTATGAGTGTTACTAGCTGGGGTTTTTGCCTTGCTTCATAGAAGGGCAGGGTCCCTGTATTGTGTGTCCTGTCATGCCCCTGGGACAGAGAGAAGCAGGGTCTGTTCTGATTGGCTGGGATCCAGGGTGGAGTGATCCAGAGAGAGCAAAGGCCAGAGGAGTTAGTGATCTTTTTCTAAAATGCCAAGGCCTAGCCCACCAGAAGCCCATCACATACTAGGATGGCCTGAGCCTAAGCCTCCCCTGGCTTTCTTTCATAGAAACCATATGCCTAGAGAACTTTTGGGGTTGGTAGTAGAGTGGAACATCAGATGGCAGGAAGCTCAGACTCAGAGACTTTAAGCCTGGGGAAGGCAGAAAACTCAGACCATGGATGTGGGAGCTGGGGTGGTTTCCAGCAGTCACAGCAGGATGGATGCCCAGTGTGGCCTACTGGCAGGGAAGAAGGGCTCCTGGGACCTGGGTGTATTGCTGCCTGGGAGAGTTTTCACTGCACATTGATTTTAAAGGCACAGTCTTCGGGAGAGCTTTTCTTGTTTGGAGCCTGGCTCTGGTTATCTCTTGTGAGACCCCTACATTCTCCTCCAGTCCCCTAAGAGGGACCTTTTTCTTATCCTCCAATAAACCACCCACTTGGCTGGCCAAGTAGAACGGTTGTGGGAGAGATATGGGATCAGTTCAGACAAAAGCTAGGGAGAATGGCGGGGGCGGGGGGGGGGGAGTGGCGTTCATAGAGAAGAGAGGAGGCTGTACAAAGGGAGGACAGACAGGACAAGACTGGAGCCCCGGGCCTACACAGAGGAAGAAGCCAGCCATGTAAGAAAGGAAGGCAACTTGGCCCCATACTCCCGTCTGGCTTCCCTCCCTCCCCAGGACCCCGGTCCTTCTGGCAGTGCTGGGCTTCCCGCCAGGTTCCAAATCCGGGAAGGCTGGGAATGGTTTACCTTCTACCTTCTTTAGGGAGCTTTGAGCTCAAACCCCATGGGGCTCATGTCCCTTGGCCCCAGGGTGCTACTGCTTTCCACCACACCCTGGGGCGCGGAATGAACCCCGTCAGGGGTCTGAAAGTTACATCCGGGAAGGAAAGGCAGCTAGCGGAGACTGAGCTCCGCAGGGGCGAGCGAGAAGCGGAGGAAGTTCTAAGAGTGGCAGATAGAGATGGCGCGGGCAGACAAGCGAAGCAGGGAGGGGGAGGAGCGCACCAGAACCTGGAGACCCAGTGCGGCTGGCTGTAGGAGGCACGCGCTGCGCGTGAGACCTGCATCGAGAAATAGTCGCCCTGCCTGCTTCCTCCTAGGATGGGGAACTAGGAGAAGGCAGCCTGAGGCGGGGAGCGCAGCGGGAAGTGCGAGTGGGCCCCAGGCTGGGGGTCACTCACCGCAGGCCGGGGCGGTACACAGCAGCCATGGCACCTGGGCGGAGGCTGCGGGGTGGCCACAGGAACCGTGCGGAGACGGGGAGATAAGGAAGGCGGGGAAGGAGGGAGCGCGTTGGAGCGAGCGGGAGTCGAGGCTGGGCAGGAGGTGCTTAAAAGGGAGGCGGGCAAGCGCAGGGGCGGAACCTAGCAGGATCTCTCCGCCCCTACCGCAGCCCCGCTTCCTGGGCCCTGGACTCTGGGGCTTGCGACCCCAGGTCCTCACCGTTGTCCCAACCCAGCATCCAAGCCCCCAAGCCCATCTCTCCCATTGGAGGACTGGGTTTGCTCCTGGGTCCCGCCTACGTCGAGGCCCCGCCTCCTGGCCAGCCACGTTGCCCTGCATATGATGTAACTCCGAGGACTCTTGCTCCCGGGAGTTAGCGACCGAGAGACTCAGTCACTAACCGACAGATTGGCAAACAAGCTAGGAATGAGGGGTGAAGCCAGAGGCGGGAGCCCACGTGTGTATGTGTAGTGCGTGCTGGACGTGGAGAAGCTCTCGGGTTGGGCATTGCCTTTCCAGTTTTTCCTGGGGAATGGACACTCCCAGCCCCAGGCTTTTCTGATTTCTAAGACCAATGCTGAGGTCCCCTTAGTCCTCAACTCCTAAAATCCCCTGTTTCTTTTCTCCTGGTCAGTGTTCCTTTCTGCCTTACTACAAAATGGTGGTGCCTCTCCACCCCAGGAGTTCTTCCTTGGTCTTCTTTTCACACTCCCTTGTGGGATCATTCTTTTCACATTCCCCCAATAACTCATCTGATCCACCCAGCCTACCATAAAGTCCTAGGGTAATTTTTCAAGCCATGTCTCCATTCAGACATCTCTTTTTAACTTGAGATCACTGGATATCTACTATTGCAAAGGTTGCAGCACCTCAAACTCAACATGTGCATGGTGGGTATCTGCTCAGTATTCTTTCCCTTTTCTGATATTAGCACCCTGGTTTTCCTTTGGGGAGCAATCTCCTCAGTCTGCATGGTGCTATGTGTATGACCTCACTCTGCTTGGGGGGTAGGCTGTCAGTTTGGTGAGTTTACATATTCCTTGATCTGGTCTTAGTAACCAGGGATGTTTGGGGGTGGGGGGCGTGATATCCCTCTCTGGGACTTTTTCTGTAAACTTTGGAAATAAACTTTTCTTCTGTTGTGCCTGCTGAGCAGGTAGAATTATAAGCCTGGATCTGCTGGGCAACAGCTTAGCCCTGCAAAGCAGGAGACTGCTTGAGACAGAAACCAGCCTAGAGAAACCAGAGTACAAGGCTGGAGATCAAAGAATTCCTGACTTAAGTTATAGAAATTAATAAATTTATTCTCTTGCTCAAGCTAATTTTAAGTGGATTTCTTACACTTTCCATAGAAATAATCTTGATTCTCAGATATCTGAGTTCTATGCTGGAACATAGTGACATAAGAAGAGCTGGCTTCCAACTGTGGGCTTGCAGCTGGTCCCTGACTTCCCACTCAGGCTACAGCCTGCACTTAACCTCATGCATGTATTTGGAATTCTCCCTCCTAGTCCTTGAATCCAAATTCATCCACATGCACCCTGCTACAAACTGCTGCCCCTTGGGCACCCATTGGGTCTAAAGTTATGCATTGTTGGTGCCAGGACTGTTGACCTTCTGAAGGTCATCATCTTGTTCATAATGTGCCTACTTCCGTTTTTCCTTATCTCAGCAAATGGCACCACAATCTAGCCAGTTACCCCAGAGGAAACCTGAATTAGTCTAAACTTTTTTTCTTATCCTTTATAATTAATCAGATACTAGAGAACCTTTGGATTTTTTCTTCACAATTAGCTCTCAAATCTGTTTCTATCCCTATAGTCACTGCCTTAGTCCAGGGCTTATCTCTCACCTGGTTGTAGGTGATGTCTTCCAACACAAATCTCTTGGCCTCCTACTCCTCAAACACCTCCCCTCTCCCTCTACTAAGTTACCCCCACCCCATTGTACATATAAGTTCACTCTGGAAAGTTAAGAGAGGAATAATGTTTATGGTGTGGACAGCAGGTTTTAGGCTCTGTGTCATTCAGGTTTACAACAAATCTATTTTACAGATATGGACACCGAGGCTTAGAGAGGTTAAATCATTTGCTCAAAATCACACATCTCATCAGCAGGAAAAAATGGAATCTGATTCTAAGTTTCTGGTTCTGATTATCAAGGTTCCTTTCCTCCTGTTGTAATCCTATTTATTTCCCCTTAATTTATCATTTAATAAAAATAAGTTTATACCTCTTATGCTTATCATCCCTTCAAGGCCTATCACATGGCATCTACTGTTCTTCAAGATCTTCTGGCTCTTATTTATCCAGGATTATAATTTCCACCTCCCTACTTGTCGTCTTTTCACCTACATAGACAGATCATCCAAATTTTAGTCTTGTTTTTAATCCTTGTATCCAAAATTAATGTTGGTTGAATTAAAAGAATGAATGAGTCCCACGTTTCTGAATCCTCTTTCCCCACAGTTACTTCTTTCTTTAGCTTTGGGCAGACCAAACAGAGGGCTCAGGTGAGGCTTTCCTTGCATTGCGGATTCCCCCTGATCTGCCATACTCTTGTTTAGTTCCTTCTTCACCCCCAGCCTGGCCCACCAGCTGACCCAGTGTCCAAGGATTACCACCAGGGGGCAGGGTGTGACCAGCCTTGACCTTGTCTGTTTTTCTGCTTCCTAGATAGATGCCTTCTAGGTCCATCCCTTTGATGTCTCACAGATTCCCTGTACTGGACACTGTGGTACACTGGCCGTCCCCCTTTTAGGATTCTGGTGCACATCACAGCAGCTAAATATTGGCCATAAGTTCCAACTGAACACAGTCCCCACTTACTGAGGGGTATACATTCCAAGATCACCACTGGATGCCTAATGCCATAGGTAGTACTGAATCCTATATATACCATGTTTTCCCTATGCATATATACTTATGATAAAGTTTAATTTACTTATTAGGCATTGGCAGGAGATTAATAATAATAACAACATATAATTATAATAATATACTGCAATAAAAGTTATGTGAATGGGGTCTTTCTATATCACATTTTACTGTACATATCCTTCTTGTGAGATGTATTACATTGCCTATGTGATAAGATGAAGTGTGTATTGTAACATAGTGTTAGGATCCTATTGACCTTCTGATGATATGTCAGGAGGATCATCACCCAGCATCACTTCTATGTGGTACTCTTGCACATGCACTGTGATTCTACAATAGTCAATCTGGTAAGTAAGATGGCTACTAAGTGACTAACGGGCAGGTACATATACAGTATGGATATACTGATTAAGGATGAGCACACTCCACATCCTGAGTGGAGATATCATTATATTACTCAGAATGCTGCATACTTTAAAACTTATGAATTATTTATTTACTTCTAGAACATACCATTTAGTATTTTGGGACCATGTTGATTATAGGTAACCAAAGCCTTAGAAAGTGAAACTGCCAATACGGGGATCCTACTGTACTTCCTTGAGCACTACATGTGGCTGAAGGGATGTCTTGCTAAGTGCAATACCCCCTTCCCAGGGGCAGTGTGTGTCTAATTATAGGAGTACAAAGGCCTACTCCCTTGCCTTAATTTGTGACATCTCGCAAGGTCCATTGGAGCTCCAGAGCTTCTATAGGATCAGCTGATTGCAATTGCAGTGCCATTCAATGCTTTTCTCTCTCAGTCCTGCTTCTCTCACTCCTCTTGAAAGTCTCCCCAATAAGCTACTTATACACAGATTGGAATGGGTAGGTGGAATGGCCACATGTTTGCAGACAGAGTCCCTGGAAATCCAAGATGGTGTCAGGGTTAGAAAGAGAAGTGGTCTCAGTTGCCGATCTAGCCATAAGCTGCCTTTTCCCACACTACCACAGTCTGATATGGATACCTATTTAAGATGTCCCCCAAACTCAACTTAGACATGGCAGTCTTCCCGCATTGGACTCTCGGATTCCATTTTTTTTTTTTTTTTTTGGTATCAGAGATTGAACCCAGGGGCACTTAACCACTGAGCCACATCCCCAGCCCTTTTTTTATGTTTTATTAGAGACAGGGTGTTCCTGAGTTGTTTAGGGCCTCGCTAAATTGCTGAGTCTGGGTTTGAACTCTCAATCCTCATGCCTCAGCCTCCCGAGTCACTGGGATTACAGACATGGGCTACCGTACCCAGCTTCTCTGATTCCATTTTGCTTTCTCCACAAAATGCCAAAGTGATCTTTTCAAATACAGATCTGATCACATCTCCATTGACACCCTTTAGTAGCTTCTCACTGCTTTTACAATTAAACCCTAATCCTTGGTCTGGCCCCTGCAGACTGCTCCAATCTCACCTACCACCATTCTGTACACTTTTCTTACTTTCTCTCTCTGGCTACATTGGACATGTAGTTTCCTGAACATGTCTATCTCTCTCTTGACTCAGTCTTTGCATATGCTGTTTCTGCAAAGGAATCCCCATTTTCTTCATATTTCCAGGCATGGTCACTTTTTATTCACTTGACCAGTCTCAGGTTAATGTGACCTTCCTCAGGCAACCTGTCCTTGCCACACCCTCCCTGCTCCCTGACTCTGTGTCCTAGAGGAGTAAGTCTTTTTTTTTTTTTTTTTTTTTAAATATTTTTAGTTGTAGCTAGACACAATACCTTTATTTAATTTAGTTATTATCATGTGGTGTTGAAGATCGAACCCAGTGCCTCACATGTACCAGGCAAGCACTCTGCCACTAAGCCCCAGCCCCACTAGCCCAAGAGTAGATCTTTATGAAATAAAAACTCATAGCACCCTCTCTGCTCCCTCATGGCACTCATCTCATTTGGTTGCACCTGCAGTCCCAGCTCCTTGGGAGGTTGAAGTAGGAAGACTACATGAGTACAGAAATTTGAGGCCAGCCAGGTACCAAAGTGAGACCCCATTCCTAAAAATAAAATGGGAGTTGTTTTTCATGTAGATACACTTCTAACATATGTAAGGCCTAAAGCAAGAGTACAAATCAAGGCTCAGAAGCTCATGTTTAAATGTTTAAAATGTATAATGCAAGGTAACAAATTGTTAAATAAGATATTTTATTTTTAAATTTTTTAAAAAAATATTTATTTCTTAGTTGTAGTTGGACACGATACCTTTATTTTATTTATTTTTATGTGGTGCTGAGGATGGAACTCAGGGCTTTGCACGTGCTAGACAAACACTTTACTGCTGAGCCACAACCCCAGCCCCTCTAAT